ATGCAGGTCACCAAACACTGTCAGGACGAAGTGAGGGTCGAAGTGCAATGGTGGCGCTGCAGAGTCTGGCCACACGGAGTACAAGAGGAATGTTCCTCCTCCATCTACGTTTCTCCTCCAAAATGTTGTTTCCTGCAAATCGTCCATTCCCTAGAGAAGTAGAGCTGAAACGATGGCACCTGGGAGGATCACCTAGAGTACTTCCTAAGCCATAGATTGATGGACTCCACCACTGGAGTTTCTGATTCGGCAGGTCTGGGCTAAGTTCTAAAGATTGCATTTCTTTCTTTTTTTTCATGAAGAGGATTTTACTTTATTATGACAGTTACTGGCACATAATTTACATATCCTACAATTCAATCTTTCCATCCTATTAAGGAGACATGCAATCATCACCATATCAATTTCAGAACATTCTGCATCCCTGTGGTTAAATCGCCTTTAAAATGAGATGTGCAATCACAGTCAGTTCTAGTGCTCCCTCCCACCTTCAATTTTTATTCCTGGAATCCCCTTTCCCTCCCTATCACCCACTCCCCACCCCTGCATCCTCTATCAACCTTTGTATCAGTTATTATCACTATGCACCCACTCCTCATGTGCATCACAAACTGGGAAACCCAACAGAATCATTAAAAAAACAAAATCGAAATAATGTCTAGGTACTTTAGAAAAACAAATCCACAGCAACTCATGTATAAGAGAGTTTTATGTAAAGAAAGTGTGCATCACGAAAACATCCCAACCCAATGCTGCCCAAGCCCACAAGTCCAACATTAACCCATTAACCCAACACCAGTCCACAAAGTCCTCCACCTCACAAAACAGGGGCAATGATGCCGACTGCAGGAAGAAAGCTGAGTCAGTGAACGAACAAGCATCTCAGCACTAGTAGGGGTCTCCACACAGCTGCTCCAGCACCCAGGGCTGCATCGGGATCGGTTCATGTGTCTTCTCCTTGGGGATGTCCTGTAGGAAGCAAGCTGAAGCAGGGAACTGCTAAGGCAGCTGCACCCTGGTGCGACCATCACAAAGCAAGAGACCTGCGAACTAGAAAGGCGAGGCTCATCACCCATTTATCCCTCCGCCTTTCAATTAGCCCCACATGTGATTATCGGCCAGGTTGGCACAATTAACTAACTCAGGTGGTAAGGATAAAATAATGATAATAATAATATAAAGGCCAAAATACAAATAATAAGTAAGAAAGAAAAGACTCCATCAACATTCAAAAAGTCAGGTAAGACATTTCTGTCAGGGAACAAGTCAGAGTTACTTGCACCCAGAACCAATTCAGGTCGGGTCTCTAGGGAGGTCAAGTGGCCAATCACCAGGTTTAAGATTGCGTTTCTACCTGGTTTCTAAGTGCTGTTATTGCTCATGGTTAGGGGAGCATATTTTTTTTTAGGGGATCATATTTTGAGAACCAATACTCAGAGAGAGAGATTAAGAAAGAGGAAATGGCGAGTGAAGAAAGGTTTGTCTCTCTCCTCATGTTTTCCCTCACCCTACTCAGTCCCCTTACTGGATCAGTGCACCCACCCCCGGCCTGGTCCATAATGACTCCCATATGGCTCCCATAATGACTCGTCATCGGTCTGCCCCTGCCACGAGACTTCTTCAGAGGCTCTTACAACCAAAGTTAGCCACCTCATCTGGAAGGGTGGGGGCTAACCCACAGTTAATGATTGACAGACACGGATTACAGCATGCTTCTGGGTTGGACTGGTTATAGTGAAATTTATCCTGAAGCTAATCTCCAGCAGATATCTTGTGATTACTTCTTTCCTTTCCCATGCACCATCCTGTTGTTTCAATGGTTTGTTTTCTTCTGACACTGCTCTCAATAAATTGTGTGGGCATCAGGTTCTATTGACAGTTGTCCGAGCCCAAGTCAAGAATTGTTCGTGCCACCTCAGGAGCAAGACTTTAATGTGTTCTGGCTTGGCTATTCTTTCCCAGATGTGTTGGCAATCCATTTCTAGAACTGACATAAGCATGCCTGAAAGTCCAGGACCACC